CAACCTGAAATTAAATAAATTTGTTTCCATAATTAGTGAACTTCAGTATTAAATTAGTTTGAATTAAGAAAAAAAATTTCCTGGTATAAATCATAGAAATATTGTTTAATCCAGTAATGATTATAGTATTGTATAATATTGTTAAATCCAGTCATGATTATAGTATTGTATAATATATATTAATATATGCATTTATCTTCCTGAAGCAAGCATGTATTCCTGCTTGCATAACTGCTCATGTTAGATGACGTTAATATGCTATTAAATGGGAATTCTTTGCATCCCATTTTAATTAGAGCATGAAAAGAATTTAATTAGGAAATTTAATTAGAATGTGACTTTGCATATCATTGTAGTCTTGCTCAACCACGGCCATTACCCAAGCACTGTAGACGCTAGAATATTTGTAGCATTTCAGTCATCTTCTGCGTAAGCTCAGTGTAGCGGCAATGTAAACACGGATAAGGATCTCTTCACGTCTAGATTTATCTTTGAAGACATAGTCAATCACTGAGCGTGGAATGAAAACGCAGAGAATCCAAAGCTGCTTTGTATCAGCTTAAGTCTTTCATGAATTTAAATGTTAGAAGCAAATCCAGTTTCATTTTCTCAAGAATAAAAAATAACAGATAACTTCTTTTTCTCTGAAAGTGATTGTGTATAACATTTGAATATTTCTTTTTTCACCTCTCTATCTCTATAACGCATTTGTCATTCTGGATCTCACAAATCCCCTAATTTACATGTTTTGAAGAGAGCGGAACACGAGAGTATTTTGAAGACTAGTTTCAGAGTCTCCTCTTTTCGTTTCATCCTTTTAATGCTTTGCAAAACTGCAAACACTGCACTTGATAAAAGGGAAGTATTTCTCCGATTTTTCAATGACTATAGACATTAGAGTTTACTTAATTTTAATTTTTTAATATTTCCTATTTTTATGGGAATGTTGAATATTGATGGGAATCGTGAATGAGGCAGCTTCGTTTTATTATTGTAGTGTTGTGTCACTGTGTAATATAGTCATGAACAAAGTAATCTATGACTAATAATAGTCATATAATGACCTTTCCGTGTATTTTATAAGATCTAAATTAATAGATTATCTTCAAAATTTTTAAAACATCACAAAATAAAATAAATGCTTATTATAAAAAGTTATACGTTATAACTCAATGAAAATTAATCATTTTCCATCAATTCTTGTTTTTCTTTAAATAACCCTAGATTTCTCTTCTTCACTACCAAAAGATAGCAAGTAAAGATGCCGCACGTTGTCATAATCATGTATGAGCGTATCTCTGTATTCATGTATGCAGAACATGTTATAAATATGAAATGCACAGAAGGAGGCGAATTTCTCACGAAGCTTTATAAGAACCTGCCGCATTCCACATTGCGTTCTCTCGAAGTGGTAGCGCATCCAGCATCAAATTAACAACTACACGATCAGTGTTTCAAATCCCGGTGAGGGCATAGTTCATTTTTCACTCTACATCCGAAGTAAAATGTGCATGATTTTACACCCTCACCTGGATTTGGTCGACTGATTCTCTTGCCATTCCCCATTCGTCCGTTAAGTAGGAGAAAGTATAAGGGATTATCGTGCATTAGGCATGTATGAACTTGCAACTTAAGTGTTACTATGTCAGGATGACAGCTAGAAGATTGATGGTTCGAATTCCGGCGAGGACATATCGATTTATGACTTGTTCCAAAATAAAAGGCACATAATTAATACCTCTATTTTAAGAACCTAATCCTATACAGAATTAAACGTTTAGTTACAGTATTTAGGGTTTTATAGTTATTCATTCAGAATTTGGTAAATTTTGATTACTTTTAATTTACCTAGCAGCCACCTAGACGGTATAGTGGTTAGGGAGCTGACTGAGAAACCAAAGGGCACGGGTTAGAATCTCAGAGAAGACATGGTTGTAACTGTCCGTATCTTCATAGAAGGCAGAAGTGCCTCATCTATTAGCTTCCATAATAAAGTGACCTTAGGAGTGGTCTTAGGAGGTCTTAGTGGTCTTAGGAGTGGTCTTAGTGGTCTGGCCTTAGGAGTGGCCAAACCGAAGTCGGCTGAGGACCCGCCATTGGTTAAATAAAATTATCTAGCAAACGTTTATGCATTTTGTTCATTACTGCATCTTTAATTATTTAAAATAAATTTAATCCATTTCTACTTCATTTAATTTTCAAGATATATATTACTTTGCCATTCTTTGCAATTTTCAACTGCATTCTTAAGATTAGATACACTTCAAAAATTTTGTACTTTCATTTAACTTTCCATGATTGGAGGATATGTTTCCCTCGTTTTGAAAAAAAAATGATAAATTTTTCGTATAATTGCGCTTGCCGGACTCGAAAGTAACCAAGAAGCTGGTACTATTCTTTTGAGCTTTTCCAGAACTCCAAAAATATCTTTCAAATTATATGAAATAAAAAGCCATTTCCACACAGCAATATTGCCATCATAAATATACAGCCAGCATAATATGTAAATATTGTTTGTAGCACACGGTTTCACGTTTTAATATAGGAAAGCAAAATGGAAGACTTATATGCGCATTATGCTGAATTTCAGTCAATCAGAGATTCGATGATAATACATGCATTAGAAGGAGTTGTAGGTGACAAGCAACTCAGATGATATGTTAAGGTTTCGTCGTCATCACTATTTGACAGATTTTCTACATTTTCAATATCTTTGTCTATCTTATTGATGAAAATTAAGATTAATTTTCTAGTATGACAGTATAAAGGTAATATGGTAATGGTTAATAATCATAAAATGTTTTTAACTTAAAGTAAGGATTTGAAATATACGATCTTGGGCTTGTCTATTTATTGACATACATTTTCCACCGTATAATTTTTCGTAGGCGACAACAATTAATGTACATTTCACCTTCCGTTTATTTACTGATTTATAATTTTAAGTTTGCTCAGACGGGTTTCAATATAACCCTAAAATTATAAAATAGTTTTAGTAGATAGTTATCTAAAGTATGAAATATCTAATCAGTCCATTTCTAAAGAAAACACGGCTGAAAGTTTCGGGAGAAAATTAACAAATATCCTTTTTAATTTTAATAAAGCAATTAGCGCTTAGGAAAGCCAGCATAAATAAAGTCTCGAATTCATTACATTTCTATATCAAAAATACGGATGATTCATGATCCCGCAAGCTAATAGCTTTGCGTGTTATCCCACAATTAATAAACCGACTCAATACTGGTCGACTTTTAATGAAGTAAATCGAGTTGCACTTTGCAAATTGCAAGAGCAGGAAGTAAATATCGGAAATTTTTACCAGTAAAGCAACATTTATTTCATTAGCAGTTATTCCGTACTTGGCTCGAGTCCAATACAGCTGAGACTGAATCAATTGATTTTTAGCACAATCACAAGTTGTAATATTAAATATTTACCTAAGATTAATCGATAGTGGGCATTTGAGACATTTAGGCTTCAACGAACATTTGAAGACAGTAGCGTCTGGGGTTTATATTATAAGTCAATAACTGAAATCTATAGGGTCGTTAGAAAACAATTTAAGTATCTGTGAAACTCTTAAATTTCCGTTAACCAAATAATTACTCGTTCTTGGTACAAATTTTCTGACTATTTTTCTTAACTTCTTAACAAATATCGTAGACGCAAATTTTCTATTTTCAACTAATAAATCTAAATATTTTGGTTTCCGTAATTTCACAAATTCTCACAAAATTCACCTAATGCATAAACTGCAGTAAATGCTTTTTAAAAAAACTCTTTTGACGTGAAGAAAAATTACGAACGTGAAATTTTCTTTGTGTACTAAAGACATCATTCGTACGATTTCATGAGGCGAGGAATTGATACAATATGTTACATATTAACATAGGATTAAAAGCAGCTCGTATAGCATTTTGCAGTTTTTAGTATATATTTGTTCCTTTATTTTGTCATAACACGTTTTAAATTAATTATTTTATGGTATTTCAATATATTCCTTTGCAAAAACGCAGGTTTTGAAACAGATAAACAACACTATATACCACAAAAAATTAAATCAATTATTTAATATTTAATAGATTTTTTTTCCAAACGAATTCAAAGTGCTCTAAAACAGATGTGACCCTATAACTATCAAAAATTATTTTGGAGCGAAGTTATCAGCGATAGATTTTGTCAATCTCGCTGAGGGTTAATGAATCACACTTGCGAATTCAGTAAATACGAGTATCTTGATAAGCAGAAAAGCGATATTTACCTTGTATTTCATATTGCTAACTGGTCTTCAGAATGTTAACATCATGGTACTATTTCTTTATTATCAAGCAAAACACCTCACCTGTATATCAAGCTCATATTGTACCGACATTCGCCAAAACCAGCTGGCACGTTTTGTCTAGAAATACTTTTTCCCAGAACCACTTTGAACACTAGATTTCGATCCACGGCTTTCATGGACTTTTCCTGACTTTTTTATCGATAATTTGTATTAGATGGATCAACTGCTCCTAGTACAGACAGCCAGCTCCTAGTATAGGCAATATCTTTTTTCTAACTTGGAAAGGATGATGAGGTTGGCAAATTTCCATTCGTAGCTTCAAAGTTTTAACGAACATTTCGCGTAGCATTCTTTGAATAGTTTAAAATGTTTCTTTTAAAAGCTTTTCGTACACCTTATAAACTTCGACAGACGTGTGATTGGGGCTGCTTATATAGATGTTTTATGCTACGTTAGTATTTTATTTTATCATTGAGCATAAGGAATTAAAACCGCATTATTTATGGGACGATAGAGACCATTTTGCTTTTGCTTGCTTTTGTTCCATATGTAGAAAAAGAAAACTATTTCAGGGAACCTTCTTTCAATGCGATATTTTTTGATTCTGAGAATGAAAACCGTAAATGAAACCCAGTCACTTTTTATTTGATGTACTTTCATTCATCGTGACCAGGAAAATAATGAATCGCTTCCAAATCCATTGTGATTTTGCTTTTAGGAGGAAGTTCAGGAAAGAAATTTAGAAGCCAACAAAGCCGGAAATACCAGAAATAATGCTAGGGAAGAATTGGATGCTTCCCTGGCCCTTGTACGCAATATTTATACAAAATGCTGTCCCGAAGAAGCTCAAATTAATTTGGCGGACGAAAAAGGAATTGATGATACGAATGTAGCTGACTTCATGGAGAATATGGAGAAAAAAATTGTGGGATACCTAATGTTTATTGAGTATCTTCGCATGCAGGTAAATATATTTTCTGAAATAGTAAATAGTAATTGTACTGTTTTAGACTTTTATTTTTATAGTTTATAGAATTGTTTCGATTTTCAGAATAATACTTGTGTAAAACAACGAATTTGCAAGTAAAAGATACTAATTAAGATAAAATTACACGCCGAACAAGTATTAATTTAGAAGTCAAACAACAAAAATCAGCGTTATATTTGAAAATTTTCACAGGACTAGTTTCGATGGTTTTACCAAACCTAAGGATGATGGTTCGGTAAAGCCATCGAAACTAGTCCTGTGAAAATTGGCAAATATAACGCTGATTTTTGTTGTTTGACTTTTAATTTAAAGATACTAATTAGTAAGCTTTCTAAACTCTTAGATAAATTAAAAATTTGATGGATTTTAATCACACCTATGCTATGCTGTTGCTAAAAGCAAAGGCTGAACGTTATTTCTGAAGATTTAATCCCAAAATCACCCGAAAAAAGTTGTACGCTCAGTAGGAAGCTGCAGTTTTTGCATATTTTCTAGATTTGATGAACCACATGGTAGCATTTTAACGGATACGAATGAAGGAAAACTACAATAAATTTTGTTTTTGGAATTATTTTGACGTGAATATATAAAATTACGAAAGCGAAATTATAGATTAGCGAGTGTCTATAACTTTAAAACTTTAAAATAACTTTAAAAAGGACTTTAAAAATAGTAATTAATAGCTGTTACTATAACTGTAAAAATAGACACATCAAAGTCCGTAAAGACACCCACCTCATTTAAGATCGTAGCGTGTGTTATCATTAGCATACAGAAGGAACTGGAGGATTTTAGCAGTTAGAATATATGACCATCTTTCGGAACAATAGTTACCATAGTTACGAGGCAAACTAGAAGGGCTAAATGATCTTGTAGTAGCTATTATAAATCAACAAGTTATAGCAATATTTACGTACATTTTCACATTATAATATGAACGTAATTTAAAAGAAAATGTATAATATTATGAATTATAAATATCAAAAATAAAAATCGAAAAGAAAATGAAAAAATTCTGTTCTTTCTGTATGAAGGTCTAACCTTTCTTTTCCGAGTAAAAATTACCAAATTGAATAAACGCAAATTAGTGAAACTTTAAAAAACGGAATCTTTAAATGAAAATTACATTATGAAAAAGAAAACGTTTTTTAAAATTACAGAACATTATACATAACAAAACAAAATAATTTTATGTTAATCTCCTCTATTTAACGCTTCAAACAGGACTTGTCAATGGGAAAGAGTTTTGAAGCCTTAAATCAAGTTGATTAATGAGTTCCGGATACATTTTTCGTTCCTCTGAATCATTTGAAACTCAAAACCGGGTTTAAGTATCAAACTTTCATTTTTAAAACAAAATTTTAAAAGTTCTGAAATGTTCAGGTCTTTTCCCTATATGCGTTCGTAACCAAATTAGACCAATAATTATACACATATGTTAAAAAAAAAAAAAAAAAAAAAAAAAAAAAACATAAAAAAGCCTAAAAATAGCTAAAACAAACTAAATACTCAAATTAAATTAAATCAAAAAGAATATTTTAAATAAAAAATTACTGAAACAATTTTTTATTCGAAGTTGAAAAACAAATTGTTCATTCGCATTATACAAAGCCTTATACAAGGGCTGGCTCAATTATTCAAAAAATAAAATTTTATTGTGAATTAATTTTCAAAATTTATGCCATATGATAATCATAAAGATAAACTGCTGGAGTTAATTATAAGAAATTTTAAACTGAAAATGAATCAAAATAAGACAAACATACCTTTTCTTTAAACCTCCATACTGACTGCAACACTGAAAAAAGAAAGAGAATTCGTTTATTTTTCTTTCCCTGGCGTTCTCTATGTTTTTGAATAAGATGTATATGGAGGTATGCGAAAGACACCGGGTTGGGCTCTTCTGTGTTTGTAAAGAAGATCAATATGGTGGGGTGCTTAAAGACGATGAAAAGACAAAGTTGAGTGGAATAAATCTTAAACACCTCGCAAATTTCTGTTAGGTGAAAATTAAAGAGAATCAAAGAATTTAAGAGAGTTTCGTTCTTAACTTATCGAAAAGGCTCAGCGGGTCAAGGTTTGAAGACCCTTACTCTAACTGAAGCCTTTTCGCTTTGCGTAATGCTCGGATAAGCCTGGGTACTTCAACTAAATGTACAATGTATAAACAACGTTTAAATTTATAATCATCTTTATATATATAAGCGGCTAAAGTGTGTGTCGCCGATAGTTTATTGTTGCCACTCGAAAAATGAGCGCGGAAATCAACGTTTCCGCAGATTTTAATTAATATCTCGGCCAATTAAAGTCGTACGAACGGTATCGATGGTTTGGAGAATTTTTTTGGAATCCGAGAATACGCGTCTCGAATTTCAACTAGGTGGCGTTTCGTAGATATTCGAGAAAAAAGGGTTTTCTTGTGTTTTCCCTATTAGAAGGATTTGGCACGCCAAATCCCTCTAATGGGGAAAACCCAAGAAAAAGTGGAAAATGTAGGGAAAACGTAGGGGAAAATTAGTTTTTAATTAATATCTCGGCTAATTCATATACCAAGAAGACGCGAATGGTCAAAATGGCGTGCCACGGACCTGCGGATTCCAACGGTGTGCTTCGCTAAGCCCGGGAGTCAGCCGTTTCGGAGGAGATAATGTTACTTCACCCCATATATATATATGCGACTTAAGTGTCTGTTTGTCGCAGATAGTTTATTGGTTGCTTGCGTAACTGTATTAGCGAATGGGGGTGAAGTTGCTACGGCACAAGGTTGCCGTTTCAATTGAGACGTAGACAATTTCCTGTAAAACTTGCCTTTGCTATGACTATCCATAAGTCTCAGGCCCAAAAGCTTAAGCATGTTGGCATTTTTTTACCTGAGCGTGCATTTGGACACGGTCAACTTTATGTTGTCTGTTCAAGAGTTCGTGAAAGGACGGACGTAAAATTAAAAATGATGGATGATCCTCTGCAAGGCGAAATTAAAAATGATGGAAAGATCTACACAAGAAATGTTGTATACAAAGAGATCTTTGACATGTGAATTAACATGTTATTATTTAAATCACCTTTACTTATTGAGCTAACGGTGGCTCTTAAGAAATGTACCGCCAGTGGTTTCCTTCATTGCATTCTACTTTAAGCAATTAAGCAAGTAGAAGGGGACAAACCCGTGGAGCAGTAAGCAAAGGGACGTCCTCGCCGCCTGCCCTGGGGAATTCAGTTTAAACTAGCAGACACCTTTGCACAAATCATTTTAATTACCATTTATAATATCTAGAACAGCGGTCAATTCGTATGACCGCCGTGCTTTCTAGTAATAATATAAGCAATAAAATATAATATAATAATACAAATAAAATAATAACATAAATAAAATAAGAATAAAATAATAATATAAATAAATAACTAAAATACAAATAATTAATTAAAAAATAGTTATTCTTTTGCTTCCAATCTACTCCTATCGAACTACTAGAGTAATATAAATAAAACATTGTTCCTTTCTTTTGAAGTGTGTTCTTATTTTCAATACTCATTTAATTTACATAATCAAATGAGCTAAACTGCTTAAAAAGACGGGTAAATTGCTAAAAGTAATTTTAACGTAAATTATAATATGAATTATTCCTCTGTTCTCCGTCTTTTCAAATTGCTGTTAGATTAAACGTGGTTGTTATCCTAGTATTAACCGATTAATTAGTAAACTACATCAGTAATTAAACCCTTTTAATTTTTAATTACATTTACACTGCTGGGTAAGTATAGTAGTAGTAACAGCATTGATTAATTTTGCAATTTCATTATATCTCGTATAGCTAATATACCACAATTTCATTTTTCAAGTCTGTAATTAGATTTTAGGCACATCAAAGGCAGTTGCTATTAACCAAAACGTAGATATTTCTAGCTAGAAACACATGATCACTTGTAGCTGAATCCGGGCTTCAGTCACAACGAATGGGTCCTCTGCATGGGTTATTTGGTATCTTATTCCATATGTAATATTAATACTAGTAATATTGACCTCAGAAAGTTCTCGATGAAGGCATCCTTCATTTTCCTCATTTCCTTCTTTTTCTGTAATCATATGAACTATGTATAATTACACTTAAGACTGTTCCTTGCTTTCTTAAATTCAGTGAACACATTAATTAATCTATTTTCAAGCAATTCATAAATCATTTTAGCCACTACTGAATCGTATATCCCTTCCGCGGAATCTACGATACTCAAATTTTGATTGAAAGATAATCAGATATTTGTGGAAAATAATTGTTAATTTCGAGTAATATAATATGTTTGGTGTAATTCATAAGAAGAAAAACGTAATACATTTTAAAATTAAAGTAATTTTTGAATAAAAATTTCTTTCATAATAGATATGAATCAAAATTTATCATTACTTTCGAATAATACTTGCTACCTGAAACGCAAAGGCACATTCATTCTTATGTTATTTCAGTACAGCTACTAGTTTAAAACTCTTGCTTTCATGAACCTTCATTCACAGAAAAATATCAAAACGCATTTATCAAGTCACATATAAATTTCAGCAGAAGCAAAGGAGAAAATTAATGCAAAGAGCAAAACATTAATTTGCTACTAACTGTGTTCGTTAATCAACTGACGGGTAATTATCGCTTTCAAGATAGACATAGAATAGTACTAATTACTATCATTATCAGTTCTCGTTATGAAATACTAGACGTAAATTTATGTTGTCGTTATAATTTTCTTTTAATGTGAAATACTAGATATAAATTTAAAGTACTATTTAATTTCAACACTGGTTTTCCCAAAACCATATAATAAAATAGCCTGTTAACAATGAAATTACAGTTGTAACTAAGTTTTAAATTCGTGAGAATTATCTTATTTATTTAAATACTTTGGCATTTGAGTGGCATACGAATATGAACATAGTAATATGTAAAAAAAAAATGATAATGGCTCAAACGGGTCCTACGCGTATGTACACT